CTTCATTTCCTTGTCTTAAAAGGAAAGATAAGCTTTCGGCATCACGTACATGTGTCTGTGAGTCTGCCCTCTTTCGTGAATTTTGAATCAACTGAAGGATTTCAATGCTATATTGCAAGGTGTGTGCAAGTTACACAGACTACTTTGAAGAACCGAGAGAAAACAATTCCTGATGCCACTGTCCGCTACACGGCTTCCACACCGGCTTAGCTTAGTGAATGTTCACTTTTAAACCTGTGATTATCCTTCCGTCAGCACTAGATTTTAAATACAGTAAATTATATATATATATATATTGTAGCATGTAGACCCGTTGCTAGTTAATGACCGTAAATCGCAACAGAGTAGCTATGTTTTCTATGCTGTCCGTGGGATAACTATGTGATAAAACAATGTAACTGCTGGGAGAGGAGTTTTCTATGAGCTCCGTGTCGAGTCTAAACAAGGAGTGAGTACATTTGAGCAGAGCTAGTCCGAGTGGAGTTCAATTGAGTTAAGAAATTTGAGATCACAGTTGGAGGTGTAAGAGTTAGTTATGAGACAGTCGCCGGCCTGTAAGGGCAGGGATACTGAAGCTGAGGAAGCTACGGCGTTGGAAGCCGTTACCAGGCATCAACCGGGGAATATACAGGAAATTAACAAGACTTAGTGCGTGTTGTAGTGAAATGCAGAACACATGATTGTACTTGTTTGGGAAGATTTCTGGTATTAATTTCTGTTAGAGGCTGAGTCGACACCAGGGTCATAGCGCGGCTGGAAGGATTAGGTCAATTGAAAGAAAAGAAATCCAGTGACATCGGGAATCGAACCTGCCACCTTCCAGCTTGTAGCATTTGGCCTCAACCAACTACCGTGTGCCACACCAGAGTCAGTTACTCATTTAGTTATGCGGGTACGTGGCGGGACAGTTGCTGAGTTGGGATTGCAAACTGAAGCAAGGAAGCAGCGTCTGTCAGGTTAGGTTGTCTTACTGACGCCGGGACGCCAGGATAGCTAGGGGAAGGGAGCGAGTTCCAATTCACACCGTGACTCTCGTTTAAATATTGAGGGAACAGGGGACTTCCGAGATTGCACTGGCTCTAGGAACCAATACGTACGGCGACGCGGTTATACCATCGAGCTATTTCTTTCACCCGGGTTTACTGAGCACAGAACACCTGATCTCCACATGAGATCTGTGCACAAGAGCGACATATGTCGCGCTCAACTGGAATGTTATCATGTAGGTCTACAGAATTTCCTTTGCTTTTTTTGCATGGATACACACTCGGCCCCTTACCATAACGGAAGCAAATAAACGGAAGCTGCAAAGGTAAATACGTAAATGTGTCCCTGTGCTTAACTAATTAAACCGCCTCTGTGGTCTAGTGGTCAGAGTTCCTGGCTACAGATTCAGAGGTCAGGGTTCGATTCTCGGCGCAACCAGATTTTCTGAGAAGTAGTGGGTCTGTAACGGGGTACACTCAGCCTCGTGAGGATAATTGAGGAGCTATTTCAAGGAAACAGCGGCTCCGGTCTAGAAAACCGAAATTAATGGCCATGGGGATTAGTTGCGTTGACCACGCGACACCCTCTATCCGCTAAAGCTGGCGCTAACTTCACCGACAAGCGGCGGTCTCTCGGTCGGTATAGTTCACTTACTTACTTACTTACTTACTTACTCATGGAGCTGAGACCTTCTGGAGGAGTCGCCAATTCTGCAGCTACTCAAGAATTTCCCAGCGTTTCATGGAACCCGAAGGTTCATTACCGTGTTCACAAGAGCCCTCCAATGGTCCCTATACTGAGACAAATAAATCCAATCCATACCATCCCATCCTCTCTCTAAGATCAATATTAATTCTGTCCACCCACCCATGTCTTGGTGTTCCCAGTGGTCTCCTTCCTTCCGGTTTTCCCACCAATATCCTATATGCATTCCTCTTCTCCCCCTTTCGTGCCACATGCCCTGCCCACCTCATCCTCCTTGACTTGATCATTCGAATTATACTTTGAGAAGAGTATAAGTTATGAAGCTCCTCATTATGCAGTTTTCTCCAAACTCCTGTCACTTCATCCCTCTTTGGTCCAAATATTCTCCTCAACACCCTGTTCTCAAACACCCTCAGTCTGTGTTCCTCCCTTAATGTCAGAGACCAAGTTTCACACCCATACAGAACCATAGGCAAAATTATAGTTTTGTATATTCTAATTTTTTGTTTTTGGACAGCCGAGGTAAAGACAAAAGGTTCTGGACAGAATGGTAGCAAGCATTACCCGAGTTCAATCTCCTCTTAATTTCCTCCTGAATCAGGTCTCGATCTGTTATCGTTGTTCCCAAATATCTGAACCGGTATAGTTCGCTTGCGGACTAAAACCATGGAGCTTGTTTCGTTTTGTTTTGTTTTTTTAACTAATTACGCACTACGCCACTACACTACATAAAGAATTGAAATGAATTATACACTTTTCGCGTCATTTTTTCTTCTCCGTACTTATTTGCATATGTTCCCTTAAGCTACTATAATGCGAAAAAGAACTGTATTGTTTTGTGTTTAACATCATCTAATATATACAGCTCACAGATGGCGGTAAGGTTGTCAGTTTTAGGCGCCGGCCGCCCTTTACCTCTAGTAAGATTCCAGGTACTCATTTCTGTTAGAGACTGAGTCGACTCAAGTGCCATAGTGCGGCTGGAAAGATTAGATAATTTGAAAAAAAAACAACACATCATTGGGACTCGAACCCGCGACCTTTCAGCTTGCAGCATAGTGCCTCAACCAACTACTCCACCGCGTGACCCCACAAAAGAATAATTCCCCGTTGAATTTCAGTTGGTGCCTCCACTAGCATCGTTGATTTCACTAACCTAAATTACAAGGTGTTGAGTATGGATCATGGACTACTTTCTGACATATGTCAGTTACTCTGACCACCAGCATATCTCGTTCTTATTGTGTCCAAGTATTTCGTGGAAAACTTTATTTTCAGACACATAAAACTTATTCTTTACTTGGAAAAACAATAAATTTAGAAACCATAAAAATAACTTTTAACTCCCTTACCGGCAAGATCCCATAATCAGACTTTTGTAATCACAATAAAAATTTTAAATGCACCTAAACTTCAAAACTTCAAACCCTGGGTTTCTTACTGTACTAAACCTATGAAGCAATTCCAGGCAACCAGAAACGTTGTTTTGAAAGTGCCATCAATTTTCCGAATGAAAATAGAGGAAAATATGCCGCCAACTTCGTGGAGGAGGGACAAGTTCATAAATAATTTACTATGTAACTTAGTAGCTTTTCCATAGCTAGTCAGAGCGAGATGGAGCATGTGGAGGGGGTGAGGACACTTGCACCACAGGCTGCTGGACAGCAATCAGGAAGTTCAGTTTCGTCTGAAGACGAGCTGCAATGAGATACGTTCCAAAGATGAACCGTCAGGAAGAACATACCTGATAAGTCCAATACAAGTTAAAGATTTTCCTGGGTTTGTTTAAGATTACCCATTTGACGCCCCATCGTTATTGTCCATCAAACAACCGAAAAGGGTGTATATGTCTTGGGAATGGTTGGTTAACGAATTGAAAGGTGGCTCATTTGCAGAGACTTCTCAGTCAGTATAATGAATAGGCTACGGGTTTGACAACCAGATAATCGGTATCGCTTCTCGGTGGAAGCAGAACGCGTCAAGGACTAAACTCGGTTTGAGGTCTAATTACTTTTCTGATCTAGTACTTGGTAATCCGGACTTAAAATTACTTTCTCCTATAAAATTATTTAGCCGGTCACGGTAGCCGAGCGGTCTAAGGCATGTATTGTCTTCCCTCGTTCGGAAATCGGGATCGTGGGTTCGAATCCCACTCAGAGCATGGATGTTTAGTTTCTGTGTGTGTGCGTTTTTCTGTGTTTGTGTACGGGTAGAGGCCTTGCGACGAGCTGATCATCCGCCCAAGGAGTCCTACCGAATGTGTAAGATCTAGAAAAACCGAAGTGAACGGAGAAGTTCATGGAGGTAGGCCTAGGCCCACTGGGGCTGTAGTTCCAAGGAAAAAAATAAAATTATTTATTATTATTATTATTCATGCTAATTAATACAGACTGTCATTTTTGTATTTTGTTTTTAATTATTTTTGTGTATTTCTCTATTCGTGCTAGCTTTGTAATTGACCTCTTTGCTGTTAAGTTTGCATGTAAATAAACACGAATTGAATTATTATTGTTATTATGGCTCTAGAGCCCTTTGTTGGGCTTAGGCCGCTTTCTCAGTGTCTTGATCCTACACAGTCGGTAGGACTCCTTGAACAGTGGATCAGCCCGTCCCAACGTCCCTACCTACACGCATAACAACAATGACACAGAATAAATGCACATAGACATCCGTGCCTCGAGTGGGATTCGAACCCACGATCCCAGTGTTCAAGCGACTAAGATGGTTCATGCCTTAGACCGCGCGGCCACTGGGATCGACTCTCCTATAAAATGCGTGACAATAAGGAGTTTCAGATACAGCTGTTCTGACAAACTACTTCGTAATTCATTCAAACCGCTTTTCTTTTATAAAATGCATGGTAACAATGGGTTTAAGACACAATTTTTCGGATAAAGTAAATGGCAGGCCTGAAAGATACACAATATTATACTGCAGCATGTTGTTGTACTGTGTACTGTAACTTCGTGTTCTTTCTCTTAGCCGTTTTTGTGCAACTTCGTCTGCATATTAACATTCACACTTCAGCGTCTGTTTTCTGTTACAATAATAATAAAACAGACGAAGACGTCTGAATATTAACATAACGACGAAGTTGCATAAAGACGGCAAGGCGTAAGAACAGGAAGCTAAAAGGTTCAGTTCTTTGGTTGAAATAATTCGCAATGCTCAACTGAAGTTACAGTTATTCTGTCGAAATGTTGGTAATCCTGGATTGAAGACAATGCTGATATAATTGCATTTGATAGCCCTAGTCCCGAGTTCAAGACGCATCCGTTAAGATGAAGAACCTCTTGTTTTCTTGCCAGGGCGATATATTCAGCGGCCTCAACGACGGACTGCTGAGCCGTGCAGAAGCGCTCGCGGCGGTTGACATCGGGAAGCACCAAGCCAGCTCCACTCCGGGTCTTCCCCAGCTCAAACACGACATGATGTATCACCACAGCATGGGGGCGCCGCACCCCGGAGCTCCGAACACAAGGCCCCACCAGGTAACAATTTCTGTCCGTATTTACTCCTTAACAGTGAGCAATCGTTCCTTTAAATTCTTTCACCGCTGTAGCCTGAAGCTAGCAGACGTCACAAACCGAAATTATATTGTCATAAGATATTATTATTATTATTATTATTCCCCAAATGATATAAATAAAAGAGTTGTCCCTGTGCTTAACAAATTAAGCACTACGCCAAGAAGGTGTATGGGGGAGTGGATGTATACATCCACAACTTCTTGGCCTCTGCACTAGTTGGAGGTGGTCAGCTTCACACCTTGCCGCTTTACCCCCGGGGATAGAACACCCAATTCCCATTGGATATGAGGTTGGGTGGACCCCAGAGCCAGTCTGGACAACGTGGAGAAGAGAAAATTCTTGAACCTGCCGGGACTTGAACCCCGACCCCTCGGTCGTCCAGCTCGTAGCTAGTCGCTATACCGACTGCACTATTCGGCGTCCTAAATGATATAAATTACCTTATTTTTGTATTTTGTTTGTGTGCGTTTTTTTCTCTCCTCGTGCTCACTTTGTAATTGGCCTTTGAGCTATTAAGGTAGTATTTCAACAAATACGAACTGAATTAAATTATATTGTTTGGAACCAAAAATGTTATCATTAATAATATTTTAAAATGTTTTCTCTTCTCATTAAAATATTAATTGCACTCAATATGAGAATATATATATATATATTTTTTTTTTTTCTCCTTGCCGCATAATTGCTGACACAATAGTATCTAAATTGTCCCGTTTTTTCCTTTTGTCTTTGTTTGTATCCAACTTTGCTCGTCCTTATTTTATAAATGGCCTCTGGGCTGTTGAGTAAGCACGTAAAATATAAAATTAAATAAATAAATTATTATTATTATTATTATTATTATTATTATTATTATTATTATTATTGCTATTCAGTATTGTTAATTATTTCAGTGTATGATATTCATTAATTGATTCTTGCAAACTTACAACTACACAGCTTATCAATTATTATGGTACAAGAAAATGTTATTCAGCACCTTACAGATGTACCCATGACTTACATCCTTGTAGAGTTCCACATTCCCAGCTACAAGGCATCACCAACTATCGCTATAAAACAGAATTCTTTCGGTTGTAAAGATATACAAAATTTTAGTACGAAAGTCAGAAGGAAAGAGATATCATGGTTGATCTATTTTGTAAAATGGCGGAAAATGTTGAAGTGCTGGCTAAAGAAACAGAATGCAAATTTGTGGTGTGGTGTCAACAAGTTCAAAATATATCCTATTGGTTGTCTCTCACGAACACTGAAATGAATGTTTGCGTTTCACAAAAGGCTGGAATTTCTTGACTAGATGAGTGACTGCTAGATTCTAAAGATAAATTCGTACAGTTTGTTAGTTGTTTAGATTAATAAATAAATGCGACAATATAGCACTCTGCATAATTTCAAACTCTAATAATGTTACAATTTTTAAAACGTTTCGACAAAATTTTCTGAAGTTAATTTCATTCTCCTCGCGTTAAGTTGCATCTGCTTATGTATGACGTCATTCCGACTTCATTTGTCAGGGCCTAAGGAGACTGCAAAATCAAAGGGCTGCATCATGAACATTTTCCAGATGTCTGCTTAACGCATTTTCCGTATTTATATACTTGCCTCTTTATCTGCTTAATTTATCCGCAATCTCACTGGGCATTATTACGGTGCGGGCATGTTAAATAACTAATCCGGGAAGACAACAAAACAAAAACTTTTAATGATAATGACAGCAACAATATACAACAGTCAGAGGCAGAGTTACGTTACGACTGGCAGATAACCGCCAATCAGTTCATCCTCGCGACAACCCCTTGAGACTCACGACCAACATTTCTCCCACCCACAAATGAAGAACTAACTGTCTATTTTCATTTTATACGAAACGGATCTCATAGAAAATGACGCGTTCAAATGTTGGAACCGGAGTTTCCTCTCGGGTCCGCCCCGAACTGTGCTGGCGAGAGCCAGCAATTTATCGTTATGCTATGTACACAGGCACAGAAAGAGATTATGGCAGTCAGCAGTAGCCTGGAAGGCTCCCAGAGCCGCCAGACCATAAAATAAGGTCGTGAGTCCCGTGGTAATCGGAGTCAAGAATAACCGTGCTGGCGAGGACCAGCAGAAATTTAGCAGTCAGTGCTGAAAGTACGCAAAATGACCGTTCCCTCCGTTAGTCGAAGGGGAGACCCCCACTTCTAAACACTCACATGTATACGAGAGAAAAAAATCTTAGTCATAGATCTTTACGAGCCCTGAAGCCAAGAATAAATGTGCTGGCGAGGACCAGGAGCAAATTAACAGACCGACCAGCCACACCAAAGTAATCTTATAAGCCTGCTTCTATTGTTTTCAACGTACGGAGAAGAGGCTACTAATGAAGCATAGACCCACTTGGTCGGCATTGCGATATCGAGACGGACAGAAGACGGTGGCATAACGCAACAGTCTGACATTTGCGTGTGTCACGTAGCCCGCAGAGAGGGCGGATATTTCCTTCCGTTTCACTCCCCCTCACAGTAACGAGGTAATCGACAGTCTCCCCTCCATAACATTGATGTGTATGGTAGACATGATTCACTCGCCTTTCCCAGCGGCCAGATATTTCATCATTACAGCTCCCCAGCGCGGTACAGAGCATTGCAGCGCTCTAAAGTGGTCATTTGAAGGATGGAATAGAACAATTTTGGGCAGCAAATGGAAACGCATGAACCCGTCCCTTGGTTCATTTGTCTGACGCGGAAACGAAAAGGGATGTTTCCCAGAGGGGAATCATTTCTACAACTAAACAACACCTACCCTTGTTTCCCGACAGGAGGTAGACAGACACGCTACATGTGATATGTAGATTCCACACTACTTGATTAGTGAGAATCTGATAACTTGATATAGGCCTGTGGTGTACAAGACGAATATGTGGGGTAGCTTAGGGTACACGTGAGGAAAGAGATTAGTAGGAATCGTGTAAGGACAGATTCTAGAGGGTTCTGACGGTATTGGATTACACCCAGAATTACGGGGGGTTTGGACTTCTTCCATCGCCCGGAATTCTAGGTAACAGAGGACACGACGTTTCGGAAACTGGATTTGTTTTCATCTTCAGGTGACAAAAGATTACACCTATTCATTTGGGCCCCTTAGAAAGAGCTAAGTGATTGAGATTAGCTCTTTCTAAGGGGCCCAAATGAGTAGGTGAAATCTTTTGTCACCTGAAGACGAAAACAAATCCAATTTCCGAAACGTCGTGTCCTCTATTACCTAGAATTTCGGACGATTAAAGAAGTCGAAACCCCGCGTAATTCTGCGTATAAGGATAGACTGAATTGACTTAGGGTCTTGTCCAATAGCTGGCTTCTGTAGTAGCAATACTGACTCTTCGGGTTCTTTCGCGCTAAACTATATCAGCAACCTTAATCTATGTGAGGTTTGGGGCCCTCACAGCTGTGACCACGAAGATAACAGCGTTCTAGGATGTGACGCCGTGTTGTTGGGTTGAAATTTACCAACTTTTGTAGGAAAGTGTTCTCTCCATTTTCGTGATAAAAGAGTGACTGAGCCTTCTACCTTGTAGATGAAGGCAACACGTTCACCAGAAATTTTGTTAAACTACCAGACTACACAGCGTCATATACCAGAGGACAGTAACTTTCAAACTTTATATCAGATAGCACAGAACACTGGGGGGCACGCAGTAGCGTAGTTGGTTGAGGCACTATGCTACAAGCACAAAGGTCGCGGGTTCGAGTCCCGATGAGTGGATTTTTTCAATTGACCTAATCCTCCCAGCCGCACTATGGCCCTGGGTTCGACTCAGCCTCTAAGAGAAATGAGTACCAAAAATATTCTTGGGGATAAAGGGCGGAGAGCGCGTAAGGCTAACAACACTACCGCCATCTATCAGCCAGTTGTCTAAATAATATGGGAACCTCAACCTCTCACAACCCTATGGGCCTCCACGTTCTGGTACAGGGATAACTTTACTTAGCACAGAACACTAACAAGAAATTTTGTCGCTTTGCTTAATTTAGCACCGGGCCTTGAGAATGCAAGGGGGAGTTGAGGTAGAGCTTTTACATTCTTACCTACGAAGACTATACGAAGGTGAATGCCAGCTTCATGCCATGGCAGGTATACCTTAGGGGAAAATATCCAGCCGTAACCTCTGAATGGGGTGACCTCGAGAAGAATCTCTGCCTCTGGCAGGAATCGAACCCCTATATCCTTACAGCAGGCTAGTCACTGTACTCACTGAGCTGCCCAACATAATATACAGATGTCATTCAGAGTCACATCTGGCATGTTTCTTGGTTTACTGCATTACCACTGAAACACGATAATAATGATAATAATAATAATAATAATAATAATAATAATAATAANAAACCACAAACCTAGCGGAATATATAGAAGGAACAGAAGATCAACTGATGAAAATTGTTAGGACACACCAACGCAACACAAGTTCTTCGCCGAACACAGCCTGCAAGTACACGCAATTTTTACAAAAAAATGGCAATAGCACAGAACACAAAAGAAAAGAATGCACGGACAATACCCAGCAGCTTAGATGACACACTGGTGGATAAGGAACAGACCTATCGATGGTTGAAATTTGGAGGCATTAAAGGGGAAACAGAAAGCTTAATCGTAGCAGCTCAGGACCAAGCAATCAGTACAAACTATTTTAAGAGAAAAATACTGAAAGAAGAGATCGGAAGTAAATGTCGACTGTGCAAAGAATACGAAGAAACTATAGACCATTTAACTTCAGGATGTCCCGTTTTGGCGAAGAACGAATATATAGTAAGGCATGATAAAGTTTGCATGCATTTACATTACTCAATATGTAAAGAATTTGGAATTGAAGTACCAGACAACTGGTACTCACACGTGCCTAAGTCAGTATGTGAACATGAGGATATAACCGTGTTATGGAACCAAGGCGTACAAACAGACAGAGAGGTTCTGGCAAACAGGCCAGACATAATAATTAAAAACAAGCAAAAGAAAACTTTCATACTTACAGATGTATCAGTACCATCGGACAGGAATGTAGTACAAAAAAAGCAGAGAAGAAATTAAAATATAAAAATTTAAGCATCGAAATTCAGCGAATGTGGAACATGAAATGTTTTGTGATACCAGTAATTATTGGAGCCACGGGTACAGTCACGAGAGGGTTGAGAAAATATTTGGAACTAATTCCTGGTAAGCACTCCATAGATTCACTGCAAAAAACAGCTATCCTGGGAACATCACACATACTACGGAAAGTGCTACAGTGCGAAGCTTGAAGCCTGAGTGGTGAGGTGCATCACTGGTTCAAGAAAAGGAATACCAGGATATAAACTTGTGACAAGGGATGATGATGATGATGATAATAATAATAATAATACCATGACTCTAAGCAGGGCAGATAGGAAAATATAAAGTTGTCCCTGTGCTTAATTAACTAAGCATCACGCCATGAAGATGTATGGGAGAGCGGAAGCATAGCTCCACAAACTCTTAACCTCGGCAATATATGGAAGTGTGTGGTCTGCTTCAAACGCTCTGGTGCCCATCCAATAGAAGGCTGGAAGGGCCCCACATTTGGACGCTGTTTAGAAGAGAAAATATTTATTGCCCCTGCCAGGAATCGAATCCCGATTCCTCGGTGGCCCATCGATATCCGCTATATTATTTACATTTAAAATAATGCTAGTAATAGACTTTTGGGGACTGTAAAATGCAGCATCTGTACTATTAGTTACCTACTTACAACATGGCCGCGCCATAGCTCAAGCGGTTAGTCGCTGGCTTGCCACCGCGGCGGCCCGGGTTCGATCCCGGGTCTCGTCAAGTGGGATTTGTGGTGGACAAAGTGGCGCTGGGGCAGGTTTTCTCCGAGTACTTCGGTTTCCCCTGCCAATCTTCATTCCACCAATTGCTCCATAACCACCCTCACCTATCATCTGGGGCTGGTACAATAGGCCAGAAGTGGTCGCAGTACAAGGGACTTAGTTCCACCCCACTAGCAATAAAGAAAAGGTCACACTTCCGAAAGCCTATTGTATCAGTCTGCCACGCGACACCGCTCTGTGAAGATGCATTGTTTTTATACGAGTGCTTTTTCGACTTCTTGTTTCGTTTTGTCTGCGATGGATGACAAAATCGAGCAACGCGTCTGCCTCAAGTTCTGCACGTACACGACAGTACAGGTCTGAGATCCTATGAAGCAGAGCCATGTGTATGCATGTGAAATAAAGAACACTAATACACACATGGCACTGCTTAATCTGTAATGTATGTATGGCGTTCAAATAATTCTGCATGCCTTTGGCTCCCCTCAACATTGACATGCTCAGAAAGTCGTGCGAGTTTCGCTTGGTCTCAACACGCCAAGATACAATAGGTTCTGTATACTTGCCACTGGCTTTCATTTTATTCCATCAACAGGAGCACTCATCTACACGTATTCATAGTTTCTTATTCTCACGAATCAGCTTTTTGGCCTGTTTGAAACAAGAATTAATTCTGACAGTGTGAACCGTTTAAACATTTGGTAGAATTTCTTTGACTCGGGATCAGCCAACTGCAAGACTTGTACCTATACGAGACAACAAAGGCAGGAGGGTAAACACGAATGATCCGAGGGGGATCTGAACCCACCATATGCGTGTTAGAGCAGGCTAGGCTAGAATATATCATACAGAGCAGACTACTCACATTTCCTTACCCAGAGGCCAAAATTCTCCTACAACATATCTTGAGCCATAATCCACGACATAAGAAAGTGGCATCTTGAATCTTAAAACTGCCTAAAAATTATGAAAACTTTTTGGCTGCTCATTAGTCTCTTGAGACCAGGTCTGCGAAATTTGATGTTAATTGACTCTTGATATAATTAAAGACGTCTACGAACTACCTATATCATGCTAATGAATTGGAAATTACACGAAAGAAATTATTCTTGGCATATTTGACTACCCCCACCACTTAGATGCAGAGAATGCAGACAGTCACGTAAAACTTAAATCACGGTACTTGGCTACACCCCGTAGCTGACGACTACGAAACAGGGGTACCAACTACTCAGTTGCGACGTTCGATAAATATTACTTACTTACTCACTCATAGAGCTGAGCCATTCTTGAGGAGCTGCCAATTGTGCAGCTACTGAACTTCCCAAAAATTTATGGGACCCGAAGGCTCATTACCGTATCCATAAGATCCCTCCACTAGTCCCATCCTGAGCCACGTCAATCCAATCCATGCCATCCCATCCTATCTCTCTAAGATCCATTATAATATTGTCCACCGACCTACGTCTTGGTCTTTCCAGTGATCTCCTTCCTTCTGGCTTTCCCACCAATATCCTATATTCACTCCTCCTCTCCCCCATTCGTGCTACATGCCCTGTCCATCTCATCCTCCTTGACTTGATCATTTTAATTATACTTGGAATAGCCATGTTAGGTGGGTTCTTTGTCACCAGTTCATGGCGCGTCCTCAGGTTGTGGATGTAGGAGACGCCCTCCAGGTATGGATGATAGCTGCGAATATATTGAACGAGCAGTTGCGGACAGCCGACAAGTGGTGATCTTCCAGTATGGGGGTTGGGTGTGGTGCTAGATACTCTTCGCCGCAAGAAAATAAGTTTTTTTTTATGAAAATTTGCAAGAAGTTTTGGACGTTCGATAAATATAATGTCATAAAAGGATATGATGTATATATGCATTTCCTTATGCCTAGATACTAAAGGAACTGGATTTTAGCATGGCTTTCGTGCAGCTCTCTCAAAACCTGGATTGCAGCACCTTCTGTGATACAAACTTGTGTTGGTTGGGTAGAACTACTCGGTATCTGTGTTGAGATTTGGATAGAAGACCTTCCGAATATGAAATAAAAACACTCTGGATTACTGGGTTTTCGGGCTGTCTTCACAATCCGATATTGTAAAGAACACGACGTTTCAGAAACAGTTCAGGTGAAAGCATGGGAAGCATCCACTCTGTTGGGTTATCAGAAAGAGCTAATCTCAATCACTGGGCAACGTACACCTGAGATCAGGGCAGAGTACATGTATCCCATACCCTAGCCTGAGGATGGAAACACTTCCAGTTTCTGAAACGTTGTGCTCTGTGGAGAACCGGACAATGGATGAAGTGCAAAATCCCAATAATTCCGAATATTATACACCAGCGTCAAAATAATTTAGAATCTATATGAACCACTACACCGCAACATTTGACGCCAGAAGTCTAGTCCAGTCCTTCGAGTCCGACTTGTATCTTTATTTTTGGTTTTGTGGTGGAGGGGGTGGGGTGGGGGGTGAGACTGAGGCCACTAAGTTGCCTACTGTCCTTGCCCCGCATGATAGATGACTATAGAGCATTTCGTGGAAGAAGAATTGGCTGGGGAACAAGAAGCACTCGCAGTGCTACCGTCCACCACAAATCCTACATGACTCGAGCTGGGACGGAACCCGGGAGAAACCGGCGACGAACCGCCCGAACTCTGCCACGGCCTTGACGCTTAGTCATGAAGTGTCCAGTCGTGTCTTGATCCAGTGAACGGCTACCTGAGTTTTATGCGATTTTCCGCAGTTCCTTCGGGAAAATTTTGTGCATTACATGATGCATTGATGTAGAAATTCCCTGTTGTTGCAGAGCGTGAAGGTTCATTGCAGTGTCCAAAACCGTTCGCCATTGAAACCCAACCTGACCCAACTAAATCCGTTTAGGTATCCAGTTCTTCTCGGGGATAAGTATTCGGACTGTAGTCTTGCAGGTGGAAACCAACGTTTCTGGGAGAATTGCTTCATATTTACCCTGAAGATGGAGGCAACATCCGTAAGATATGTTTATATCCACCTACAACAATAAATGCTATTGCAGTCAAGAAGGCCATAATATAAATAATTCAGTCAAGTTTGCATTTTGGTAGGTTATTTCTTCAAAATTCATTTTTAATATTATTATCCTATCTATTCCGAGGACTTCCAAAGAGTTCTCTTCCCTACATCGTCGTGTCTTCTCCGTACTCTCCACATATGAACCATGCAGTTGCTGTTGCAGATGGCACATCACGGCATGGACGGTCTGGACATGCTGGACCCAATCTCCACGTCCACCATGACCACCCTGGCCCCTATGTCGGACAGTTCAGCGGGTGGCCACGGTGGCCACCACCCCCAGCTCCATGGCCCCTCAGTGTATGGACCGGCAGCCATGAACAGTATGATGACTGGCCACCATCACCACCACCATCACGGGGGCCCACTGTCGGGGCACGGGCCCCCGGGGCACCACGGGCCGCACCATCACCCCGCCCACCCAGCAGCGCACCACCCGGCCATGGCCGCCGCAGCGGCCGCAGCAGCAGCAGCCGGTCTGCATCCTGACTCCGACACCGACCCACGGGAACTAGAAGCCTTCGCCGAGCGGTTCAAGCAGCGGCGCATCAAGTTGGGGGTGACGCAGGCCGACGTGGGTAAGGCGCTGGCGAACTTGAAGCTGCCCGGTGTGGGCGCGCTGTCCCAGTCTACCATCTGCCGCTTCGAGTCCCTGACCCTGTCTCACAACAACATGATAGCCCTGAAGCCAATTCTGCAAGCCTGGCTCGAAGAGGCAGAAGCGCAGGCAAAGAACAAGAGGCGAGACCCCGATGCCCCCAGCGTTCTCCCCGCGGGCGAGAAGAAGCGAAAACGGACGTCCATCGCGGCGCCGGAAAAGCGTTCTTTGGAGGCGTATTTCGCCGTCCAGCCCAGACCTTCGGGAGAGAAGATTGCCGCCATAGCGGAGAAGTTAGACCTGAAGAAAAACGTGGTACGTGTGTGGTTTTGCAACCAGAGACAGAAGCAGAAACGCATGAAGTTTGCGGCGCAGCACTGACAGGTGTCGGGAGGGGGGTCGCTAGCCCCTCCCTCCACCCCAATTTCTGCCCACTGTATATAAAACTTAAACGCGCACCCCGGGACTCAAGAAGCAACATTCCGTTCTAGTCAACTAGTCTTTAGTTGGTCGCACAGTCGAACCCAAGCGTGTGGCAACTCCGGTGATGTCACGAACAGTGCAATATACAAATTAGGCTTATAAGGAGACATGTCTCAAATAAATATTGTACATATAATATTAATAATAATTTATAATTGTGTATATAAAATATACACAGACATTGTAACTCATAGCTCAATTCCAATTTTTTTTTGTGAGCAGTAAATGTGGGTAAGATTCTAGTCAAAGCTTCTCTTTGTTGGGCAGGCTGTCATATACCTTGCTGTCACACTTTATCCAATTAGGGGAAATCTGTCATGATTACTGAAATACATATTGTTAAGCCTAGTTTTCGTCATCAAAAATAATATTGTGTGAATTTGAGTACTACCCCGCTGAAGGGAACGGAAATTGTATTTCCTACTTTAATTTCTCATTTAAATTTCGTGCGAAAAGTTCATCCCCCTAAATAAAGTTAAACAAGAATTCCACTCTGTAAAGACAATGGCGATCATATTTCTATTTCAGTTCGTTTAAATATTTTGGGAAGAATATATCTTTCCGAATTCAGAGATAACCTCAGCCCTACGCCCCCTTTAAGACACTGGGAAGTTATGTCTCGCTTGAATTTCTTTTATGAATTTCCTTGTACTAATAATATCCTTTCTAAAAATAATTCCCTTATCGATGACCTGGAGGATAAAGTAGAGTTTTTTATATGCAATTTGAGGGAATTATATGTCCAAAGGCATGCGAATAATCTGCTAAACAAAATTTGGGAATAAAATGCAGCTTTGAAAGGGTCGAGTTGGCGAAATCAGACTACAGATTCTGATAGTGTACGTGTGTGTATGCGTTTATAGTTCTTGTTCTCTGTAAGTAGAGCGCTTTGGAATACATAAATTCGCCATGATTAATGCATTTATTAAATTAAATACAAAATTCTGAAGTCTTAATCAGAATGGAGGACGATGACTGACAAAAAAGGTTTATTTTAAATGTGTAAGTACTTGGGAAAGTTAAAGAAAATATTTATTTCATATATCACCATCAGCATTACATGTATGATTTCTCTTCTGTTACCTTGTTACAGATAACCCAAGTTCAAGGTAACTGTGTTTCATCAAAATAATTACGTATTGTAGAATTCCCAGGTGATACCAAGCTCTGAGAGGCATTCGTTAGGCATAGGGAAAGGGGATCGCTGTGGCAGGCGCATTTGGGAATTTGCCCTTCAGCTTATTGTTCAAGATATTCGGACTAAAGTCCTTTCAGAGAGGTAGGCCTACTGCACAGAAGCTGGGTTTTAACCTGCAAGATGTCACATTTTAAGGAACTTTATTTCTTATTTTGGTAATACAATCTGAGTCGACCCTTGCCCATACCCAATGGAGACAAACTCCGTGATTTACTGCTGAACATTTCTATGTGAAATTCAGGCAGTCTCAAATCGAAACCTCGCATGAGTCCTTTTATCCGCAATGAGTTGCCCCAGGGATTCCGTCTGTTCCTCAAGACAAGTGCTTGAGACAGTATCGTAAATCAGAGCTGGAGCGCATTCATTTTCAGTTCATCGTTCAGAGAGTGTTCTACTGCTCAACAGCAAATGCAGTACATGATTGAAAAGAAGGTTAAATAAACCAATAATTATCTTTTTTTTCAATGTCTCTTCCAGACCATTCAGAGCCCAGGCCTCTTATTCAGTTCCGTAATCATTTTACAGACTGTAGGACTCCTTGGATGAGTGATCAGCCCGTCGCAAGGCAACTACCTACATAGAATAAACGCATACACACACCAAACATCCATGCCTTAAGTGGGATTCGATCCCACGATCCCAGCGTTTGAGTGGGTGCCTCAGACCGCGCGGCTACTATGACTGGCCCAATTTATTTTAGAGTTGCCTACACCCGTAGGTATGCCGCACACCGGCATGCGTCAAGACATATAACAGTCAAGACACGATGTCTACGACATGACGCAAAGAAAGGAGCACAATTGAAACGACTGAGATTATGAAAACCGCTGCACACCGGTCTGAGTCATGATGCTGACGTCATGCTGCGTCGTGTCGTAGACAACGTGTCTTGACAGTTACATGTCTTGACGCATGCCGGTGTGCGGCCTACCTTATCAAGACAAGGAATACGTTTACCCTAAGCTTTTGTATTACAGGATACCGGGAAATAACCCAGTAGGAACCTCCGCGCCAGTAGATGGAGTCGAGCGGTGTAAAAGCGGGAGTTTACCGCGATAGGTAGATTCGAGGATACGTCCCTGATGCTGGAGCAGTTTAAGGAGGGTCCACTGTGGTCGGCACCTAACATTCTGGCATTATAAATATTTTTTTTTCTCTCCTTAACCTGCATACGAGATATACAACAATTAATGGTTCGAAATAATGTATTACTCGTACTTGCCAGTCCCAGAGTCCTTAGAGCGATACCAGTGTCTAGACATTAGCAATGACGGAACTTCACAGACATGTTGAGGTTCGTGACATGAAGTCACCACTTCGATTGCACCCGCATATAGAACATTGTGAGCAAGTGGTCGTGACCTCGTACTGTCCCTGCGGCGAGATTAAAGGAAACTAAATAATTTCAATTAGGATAGGAGGTGTCCCGGCTGAGGTTCGAACCGAGCAGTTCCGAACTACAAGTCGGAAGCGTTACCCACGTCAAGTTCAGAGATAAACGTTTTTGTTATTTCTTGGGCTGATTAGATTCAAATAATTGTTTAAGGTGTGACAACAAGCGCATTGCTTATAATACCGTATTCGGATTTAGAATACTGGTTCTTTACCATCCATTGTCACTTCGTTCTAATTCGCGTTGTCACGATTTTAAAGTGATTGGTAATAGGATTTACTGAACACAGACCGTAAATGCAAATAACTATGACAGTTTCACTCCAAAGATCTGCAAACATAAAGTCCTCTCAGGTTGCTATGGCTTCACCAGTCGTTGCCTGGTGACGGTTCCAAACAACGGCTTCTGCTTCACTGCTTACATTCTTACCGGCTGGTTAGTGTCTCACAACTAACTCAATGCTCCAGCTGTCAACTCTCAACTGAAAGACACCCATTAACTGTCGTGCTTATAACATTTTGGCACGAACCACACAGAAAACGCCTTTCCTTTGTTGCTCTTTCCAATTTTTCCCCTTCAAACTTGCTTGCTTGTGAAGCAGTTACTCAGTAACGGCTGTTGTGTCACTGCTTGTTTCGCGGTCGTTGCCTAGCAACGTGTCTGTAAGTCGTCTTAAAATAGTGAAATAACGTGGAAGAGTGACGATGGGTGTAGTAAAGTATGTGATTGGTACTGGGTACATGCAGATGAAGGATTAAAAGTCTGGTACGAGAGGAATGCAGCTTGCAAGAAAGGGTTATTTCATTAGAGTTTCGCATAGGGAGCATTGCTGGACATTCTGGTAAAGCAATATAAATCCGCATATCTACGGCGTACTGTGTTGACTGGGAATGCAGTTTTGCCCCAAAGCTACATAAATCATTAAGGTTTCCCATATTTCTTTGGAAATACATTTGCAACGATTTCGCACCACATAATCCAACAACATTTCCATTTAGAAGAGGGGACTTATATTAATTGAACATTCAGTATTTCTCTTTATTAAAGAATATCATTTATGAAATTTGCGAACGAAGGAAATTTAACTTCCTCATTGCCAGACCTGTAAATCTGGCTTCCTGTGAGTAGCCCCATCAGAAAGAAATCAGCAAGTTCTGCATTCCATTCATAAATCTGAATGCTGCATATGTTGAAGAGAAGAAGCCCGTTTCGATGAGAAAAGAGGGGTGAAGACAGGAAAAATGAGTTACTTCATGATGTAATGTACAGAATTTTTATCGGAATCTTCCATTTGTGGGCACTTAACAAAATGAACACGAAGATATATTTCAGATCTTCAAGAAAAATCAATATCAATCGAACGATTTATTCTCAGTTCTTATTTTATTATTATTATTGCCAGGCTTTACACTGATATATACAGAGCACATAACCAGGCCTCCGCGCCCCTTATACGCACAGCGTGATGCTTTATTGCATCAGCAGCAGTTGGACTTCTCAGTTGTCTCATATAATTGGTTCACAAGTATATCAATCAACCTGAGAACTATGCTGGCGGTTGCGTAGCTACTGGTAGGGTCACCCATGTCGGATAGGTCAAGGAGTAGCAATCAGACGAAGAGGGATACCCTGGTCCTCCAGGTTGGGGGGGGGGTTGGGCGTGAGGCTGAGAACCTCACACCGCAAAAACCCTAACTGTTCAGAAACCAAACAATCAGCCTCGGATGGAGGATTGAACAGAAATCGACACCAGCGAAGGAGCTGAGATGGTTGGAGGATGTACATGATGCTCTCCGCAAAATGAAAGTGAACGAATGGGGAGGAAAGATGAAGGACGGAGAAGAATTTAAGCAGATTGTTCAGGAGGCCAAAGCCCACCCTGAGCTATAGCGCCGAGGGGGAGGAAGGATATTCATAAACAAACATTTTTAAAATGATATATCAGCAACTACGTAAATAAATTTAGCCCACTTTGCCATCACAACTGAAAATATAAACAACTGCTGTGAATATAATTCTGCTTCTACTGGATTTGGTAAATTAATTTACTTCTGCAACCTTATATATGAATATTCTTACATGTCTCCCATCAAGCATCCCGTAGCGAGCCCTTGAAAGTATTTACAATAGGAAAACGATTCCTTGACTAATACTACTCAAATTTTTCATACTGAATGTTTGATCTTAAACGGCCTTAAATGTTAATCTGTTCTATTTCAGGCGGTTCCAACCTACAGTGTTTCCTTACTGAAGTTGCATAGTTGCATGAATGTGGGTTCTATTTTCTGGTTTTTTTGCGGTTAGAATTGTCATCTGAGGCAAAGGAAATGCACTAAAGAACACTAAAATTTTGAAATTCAGTTTTATGTATCAAACTCTTGGGATGTAGGCTAAAAATTCAGAAAACAATGCGACAATTGGCAGTTACTTTTTTTTCCCTTCCTTGGCACTACAGCCCGAGGGCCTAGGCCTACCTCCATGAACTCCATTCACTTCGGTTTTTCTAGATCTTACACATATGGTAGGACTCCTTGGGCGGGTGATCAGCTCGTCGCAAGGCCTCTACCTGTAGACAAACACAGAAAAACGCACACACACATCCATGCCCTGAGTGGGATTCGAACCCACGATCCCGGCTTTCGAGCGAGCGAAGACAGTGCATGCCTTAGACCGCTCGGCTACCGTGACCGGCGGCAGTTACATTTAGTCTACAATAATGAGTTGTTGAGATTCTATTCAGGGTAGGTATGGGCAAAAGGCGCTGTATTTCCCACAAATTTACTTCCGTTCATAGAATTAAACCTACTAATATCTGAACCAAGAAACGAAGAAGGAACCTTGAGAATACGAAAAGATACACACAAATTGAGAATAAATAATTCAGTTAAATTCTTTAATATTTAAGTGCCGAGCCAACACCTACTGGGCCACTTACAGACACAGCACAGCGTAGATACAGGTAATTACATTTTGGACAAACAAAATAAAGCCAAAGACAAATTACAGGCAAGCACTAGAGAAAAACATATTAATGCAGAGAAGTAAACAAACAACATAATAATAATTTCACTAACACAAATCTAAATTTTTATTGAGAACTGAGAACTGTAAATTATAAATATTTAGAAAGAATAATAATAATTCAATTTAATTGAATTCTTGTTTATATACTTGCAAACTTAACAGCTCAGAGGCCAATTGCGAAGTTAGCACGAGTACGTAATAATAATAATAATAATAATAATAATAATAATAATAAATATAAAGCTATCCCTGTAATAGGCCGTCGAGACCCATAGGGTTTTGAGACGTTGAGGGTCCCACATTATCTAGATAATCGGCTCATAGATGGTGGCAAGGTTGTCAGCCTTAACGCGCCGGCCACCCTTTAACCCTCAGGAGGATTCTTGGTATTCATTTCTGTTAGAGGCTGAGTCAACCCTTGGGCCATAGTGTGGCTGGAATGATTAGGTAAATTGAAAAAAATCCACCTCATCTGGACTCGAACCCGCAACCTTCCGGCTTGTGGAATAGTTACTCAACCAAGTACGCTACCGCGTGCCAAAATAATAATAATAACAACAATAAGACCTAACTCCGTGTTTCAGAGTCCAGATACCTTATCATTTACAAATCCCTGGCTATAAAAAGAGATTCTGCCATATCTCTAATAATTTAGTGCTCAGTGTTAAGGAAAGACGCAATTATGTAAATCAACTTCGAATGTTTTCTAATTGACTGAGAACATGTGTTCGTGTTCCATTGCTCCTGATCATTGAGCAATGTACGTACTTCAGTAACTTTTGGGAATTCACTTCATTCTGTAACTGAACGCAAGTCATTGCATTTATGCCACCTATGCGTGCACAGTACTGTCACACAAATGTAATGTGCTGATTCTAGAATGTTGCCTCCCTACATGAGTGAACTGGATACTGAGATCAAAATAAACATTCTAAAGAAACTCCCAATTTGTTTGCTCTCAAGAGCACAACTTGTGGTGCTGAATTGTGGGGCAATGTCCTAGAGTAATTAAAACAACCGAAAGTCGTGGTGGAAGTACAGCGACATTATCACTCACAATGTCATTCGCT